TGATGACTCTGCAGCTGGACCTGGCCCAGCCCGCTCATATCTGGGCTACTGGACGTCTTGGAAAGGATGGACCTTCTAAGTTTAGTGGGGGAATGAAAGTGGAGAAGGAGTACAGTACCAGCTTTCATATGACTGGATGAGCAAGACACTGTAGCTAAACTTCAGCTAACACCAGCTTTAAATGCCAAGTATTCACACTATGACATCGAGATAAAATAATGTACCAGAACAACCTCCAAAGTGATAGCGGATCATTATTATTAATCATTATTATTATTATTTTATTATTTAATTTATTTATGTAAAAACAAAACCTTTTAATCTGTATTTCTAGAGGATGGAGGACAAAATATTATTATTATTAAATATGTTAATTACTTGAAATAAAACCCATTATTATATTGGTTGGTAATGCACAGCATTGCATTATATTGTATAATCTCTGAATCTCTAATCTCAGTTATTTGAACTTTGTTTGCAGTTACAAGTTTCCTGTTCCACAACAATAGATTGTGTAGAGAAAATAACAAACACCATTAAAGACCTTGCTGCTGTTGCTTTTTTCTGGCCGTCAACGGTTCCCAAAGTTCACGACTTATCAGAGTAAAAGAACAGGGATTGAGATTGTGGCTAATGAAACGATTTAGTGTTTTCATGCCTTTAGTAGTTTAACCGCCACAGCAACAACAGCCTTGTCATGCCTGAATGGTCAGTCATTGTTCTGAAGGAGCTGAGTCCCGCTTTGCCTTTGTTACCCCTTTCTCTCGCTGTGGTCTACATACAGTTAAGCAATGGCCTAGTTAACTTTAAAAATAATCCACTAAACCAGGCCAGTTCTTTCTGATTCACATTTCCTCTGTTCATTTGAGAAGTTGAAACAGACCCAAGAAGTCCCACCAGAAAAATTCAGCTAACTATGCCCATGCACTTTTGATTTTTGAGTTTATTTTGCCTCTAAATTTTGTTTTCATATGTTTTTTTTGGCAGGTATGTTGCAGAACGGGAAAAAGTTCGACTCCTCTCGAGACAGGAACAAGCCCTTCAAGTTCAAGATTGGACATAGCGAGGTCATTAAAGGCTGGGAAGAAGGAGTAGCACAGGTGAGAGAGGACGGTTGAGGCCCTGCTTGTTTTGTCTTTTAGTATTAAGCAGTACGTTATGCGTTCCATGTTCTAAGTACATATTGAACTTCATTTATTCATTTATACTGCCAGGTTTTAATTGATCATACCTAACAGTTAGTTGCAATTCTGAAGGTGCTCTCGTACAGTGAACAGGTGCACCACTGCAGTTGTTGTTGTTTTGTTTTAAATTGTGCTTAGATGTACTGCAGTGGTCAGCAACAATGAGAGGGAGGCTGTAAAACAGATTCTACTGCAGCTATTGGAGTTCAGATTGGTTCAGCTGTAACAAATTCCTTCCTTCAGCTCTTGTATGATAGAATAGAATAGAATAGAATAGAATAATCCTTTAATTGTCCCACAAGGGGAATTTTGGTTGTAACAGCAGCCAAAAAGACACATATACAAACAAACAGTACACAGGACACGGAACAGAAACATACACAATTTTTCTTACATATTTACATTAAGGACAATGCTTACTATAAACAGAGTACTGTACAGTTATTAAATTAAATAAAAATAACTACAGGTAAGAGGCAAACCAGGTTGTAGTGCGAATTGGTTAATTAACTTATTGCAGTTACAGCATTGATGTAAACATCTGTTTGTTGGGAGCAGTTCTGATTGTACAGTCTGACAGCTGCAGGGAGGAAGGACCTGCGGAAACGCTCCTTCATGCATCTAGGATGCAGCAGTCTGTCACTGAAGGAGCTCTGCAGTTCAGCAACAATGAAAATGGCAGCCGCAACCCTTTTCAGTTAGAGAAAACAGATGAATGAGGACAAATGGAGTCACAGCATCAACAGCAACAGCAGTCTGACTTATTTTCTGTTGTGTATGTAATGCTGAGTAGCTGACTTGATTGCTGTCTGCTTGAAAGTGGTCTTTTACAGCTGCAGTGAGTAGAACCCAAGATCTGTTATGAAAGGAGAATAAAGTATGCAGTTTCTCATATTTTACTTGTGGTCGGGCCTCTTGGTAAAGTACGCAAACAAAAGCTCTGAGTTCCAAATATCTGCTTGTGTTTCAGGTTCCTGGTATTATGTTTGCCTGCCAACTGTCACACTGTTATTGTTTACTGGGACACTTGAATAGGGTATTAATTTACAAGTCAAAAAGTGTTTTGTGTTGTGTGACAAGGGACTTTTCGGGCGTAGACGTAAAGTACAAGAAAATGCACATAAATACTCAGTGTGTTCTGCTGTCCCCTCCTCTCCTGTGCTGCAGATGAGCCTGGGCCAGAGGGCTAAAATCACCTGCACACCGGATATGGCTTATGGAACAACAGGCCACCCCGGAGTCATCCCACCAAACGCAACCCTTATTTTTGATGTGGAGCTGCTTAAGCTGGAGTGACGCATGGGGTAGAAGGCAAAGGTAGAAGGTTAATGGGGCTGCATTCACCATAACCCATTTCCACCGGGAGACCATACCCGACTGTCGCCTCTCACAGCCACCCGCTCTTATGTTTCTCTGTTTTCCCAGCCTTCGTCTTTTTCTTCAGTTAGGTATTTAAACGCATCTTCCGCTGCTTCATTGCCATCGTTTTGAGCTAGATGCTGCAAGAAAATGTTCATGTCGTACAAGACTCTTATACACACACACACATTTTGGTTTGTTTCTTACACATGCTTGTTTTGTTGAACTTCATTTAATGTTGTAAATTTTGTTGATCCCTGTTCTCTTTGAAAAGCCGTACTACATTGCAATCAAAACATATATTGCCTTACAGTTTGAACAGCGGAGTTGAGGGTACATAGGTTAAAAGTACAATGTCTGCTCTGTATATTTACTGGGCATTATATACCACTGTCTGCATCGCCACTTTGAAAAAAAGGCTTGTCCTGCTGAATGCTCTGAATGATGTTGCTGTGTTTGGTATATTTTATAATCCTTGTGAACATGCAAGTGTAACCTATAAAATCAAACCCAATCAATACTGTACAGAAGTCTTTAAGAGCCATTGCTACTATGACAGTTTATTGACCAACTCTTGAATAAAGTGGCATGCACTATGTTAAAAAGTCTGTGTCCTTTGTGTGATTTGTGAGTGACTGATTGCTACCTCCAGAGGCATCTGTTTACCAGTTCACATATTGTGTTAATTTTTTATGAAACCATAATCAAATTATTTGTAAAATAAGTAACCATGCATTTAATCACATCTGGAATCTCGCCTTCAGACGACAAGATGTGGAGGACTTCATCACTTCAAGAAACACATGTAAACGAATACTTATTCCATTTAAGGACAAAATTTCTTTGCAAGAAAAAGCTCCTTGGTGTGCCAAGAAATCTGTATACAGGGAAGAAGGCCTTTAAAACCTGTATTTAATTGTCATCAGGCCAAAAATTAAGATGAATACAAATGTTTCAACTTCCTGGGACAAGTTTTGGGAGGGTCTTTTTCTGTCCCAGCATGACTGCCGCAATGCACAAACTAAGATCAATAAAGGTGTGGTTAGTTAAGTATGTTGTGGGAGAATTCAACCCCATCTAACATTTTTCGGATGAACTAATATGGAGATGCATCATAATCTGATTTGTCCATGTATTTTATCTCAGTTTCAAAACGTGATATGTTGTTACTATTTTTATTTAACTATGGGTTTGAATTATATGCAGTTATTGCACGTCTGTTTTTATCAATATTTTCCGACGCATCACTTTGAATTTTCCTGAAATCTCTAATAATAATAATAATAATAATAATAATAATAATAATAATAATAATCACGAACTCTCAGTCTTAGCTTCGACAAAACAGGGAATAAGGGTGGTCATTATAAAAAAATATGTTTCAAT